ACCACCACTGGAGGCCCTCACCTCCGTCGGACCACTACTTTAGGCCTTGAGCTCCACCAGACCACCACTTGATGCCCAAAGTTCTCCCAGAATACTGCCGACCTCCATCACTAGATAACGGTCTTTCTGACCCTAGTCTCCTACCGACTACGGTCCTTTTGACCTTCGTCATCTACTATGGTCCATCCGACCTCTATCATTAGACAACGGTCTTTCTCGCCCTGGTTTCTTGCCGACTACAGTCCTTCTGACCTCCATCACCAGACAATGATATTTCCGTTATCCATCCTACCAACTATGGTCGTGCCGACCAAACAAACATGTCTATATTGTAACTCCCACCATGTAATGCGCTCTATATGATGTACATTTGTATCATTAAGCCAAGGCCTTCTCCCAAGGAAGGGCCTCATTTGTAATCGACTGTAGATACTAGTGGATTCATTTAAACTAGGCTAGGCCCTATGGTTTTTCCCCTTTTAAGGGGTTTCCACGTAAAAACTCCGGTGTCTCTTATGAATGTTACACCCTCTCTCTTATCTGATTGTGTGCTGGATCTTCATACAATGCTAAGATGCTAAACATTATAATTATATACCACCACGAATACTTCAGGACGCAACACATGTAATAAGAGCAAAGGAGTTATCCAAGTATTTCTAAGTAGATAAATAAATTGCAATTCATACCATAAAGTAATTCATATCACATTTTTCGGATCCATGTAGAATCTCAAAGAATTCTGACATCTTATGACTCCTTTTATGCTTACAGTATAAGAACATGCCCATTTATATATATATATATAGTGTAATTATAATGTGTTCAATAAAATTTGAAGAAAAAGACTTTAATATTAGTAATATTTCATCAAAAAATTATCTAGATCAAGCACGAATCTACAGGCAAAATCAAGTTGGAAACTTCCAAAATTAAATTTGGGACCATACGAACTCTAATTTATTTAAACTTATAGTCAAACTAAACATCTTGGAATTACAAACCCAACGACACCAAATTCGACTCAATCCGCGCCCAAATGGGTCTAAATTAAAGACCCGAAATGCATTTGAAAAGTTCAAACCATTAATTAAATGACCAAACAATTTCCAAAAGTGAAATGCTTATAATTAAATCGAGCGATTATGAGTCTCCAAAAGGATTATGCTTGTGGGGTCAGAATGCAAACAGTACGATCACACTATCCCGTAGAACAAAATTGTTATAGACCTTTATACTCTATACAAGCATGCCAATGAAAAAGTATATGAGATTATACATATGATTAGTCATAGATGATAGTGGCTTTCACCTGCAAACCTCGATGGATAATAATATGTATAACCCTATAATCACGAGATTTTT